CATGCCCGTGCCACCTCTTGGGGTGACTTAATCTTCATGATCATCATCTGAGTCCTCACTTGAGAATGAAACATGTAGGTTCGAAGCGTTGTGTAAATTCTAATAAGTATAATAGATTCTACAGTTAATTTGTATTCTTTTAGTCAACCTTGATCAACTGTGACATTTAGAGAAACCTTCTTCCAATTAATCCAAGATGAAAGAGCACTTGTTTTCTTTAGAAATAGAATCCCTAAACAAGAAAATCATATACATATATATATATATATATATATATATATATATATATATATATATATATATATATATATATATATATATATATATATATATATATATATATATGTATATATATATATATTGTGACGGTAAAGTGTTGGAGTGTTGATGTTCGGCTGTTTCAATAGCTGGGGGCAAGGCCTCGTCACATTACAGAAAAAAAAAGATCGTTTGCAAGTTTGTCTGTGGTAAGGTAATGGGAAGACACACAAAACACAAAGTATAAACAATGAAATTTTAATTACTCTAGAAAACAAGATATGAATAAAGACAATCTCTTGGCTTACGTAAAATTTAAAACAAGTCAACAAACAAAACAACATGAATAATTAATGGCAGTAAAAATTTACTCTAAGACAATAAAGTGCAAGTAATAGTAATATAATTCAAATCAGGTGCTGAGAATGCTGGCTTCAAGCTGCCACCTCCCTTAGTACACGACAGCCAGAGCTTTGTCTACTAGAGAGAGATGTCAACTCCAAAGAGCACAGAGATATTCTGAGGAGTACGGCGTGTGCTGGCCCAGACGTCGACTTAGGTAGTGGCGTGAGTGCAGATGCGGCGACACACCAGCCAATCAGGAACAGGCAGGCGGAGAATGAGTAGTTTGCTGGTTTGACGGCTGGCGGGAGCCGGTGTGTCTGGTGGTGCAAGGTACACTTTGCTTCCTGGGCAAAACGTTTGGCGATACAGGTGGACATATCTTCAATATGGTATCATGTACTTGAATGACGTAAATTGTTGTAGGGAAGAGCAGGCTCAATCTCTCTTGAAAGAGATTATCGTCACTATATATATATATATATATATATATATATATATATATATATATATATATATATATATATATATATATATATATATATATATCCATTTTTCCATAATATTATTGTCCAAAATGATGGATATGCTTACACCAACCCTCTCTCCTGTCCAAGGGCTTACTGCAGGAGCAGCTGGCCACTAGACTATTGCTCTGAGGGTAAAGTGCATCTGATATTTCATGGGGAATTGAAAGCATATCATATATCACCTTTAACGTTCTGTATATCATATGAAATAGGCTTTAAGTCTCCTTTCTCAGACCTCCCCCCCCCCCCAAGTCCTCGACCCCTCTTTCTGTCTCATAGGGAGGGTTTGGTGAATGTCATAGGTGCTGCGTGGCCATGGCAACCTCTTGATCAGGGGTTCCTCATCGTCATGAGTACCTCTTCCTCATGAGTACTTCTTGGTTAGTTTTTCCTCATAAATCATAAATACCTCTTGATCAGGAGTCAACTGTACACCAGTTGATTGAAAGTTGAGAGGCG